TGCAAGGGAAAGAGAGAGAAAGAGAAAGAAAAAGAGAGAAAGAGAGGGCTTAGAAAAAACCATCAGCAACAGCAGGCCCATGGAGAAGGAGAACAGCTGTGGGGTGAAAGACCTGAGGACTAAATTCCCAGGACCCCTACACCAGCTTGGCCAACTCGTCCCCCCCCAGCACCAAGCAGAGACAGGCCTGACCTAGGGTACATCCTGATGGAGAGACCCTGCTCCTCCATCAGCCTTCCCAGCTGACCCTCTCTGGGGTGGGGGGGAGCGTGCGATCACCCCAGTCCCACGTGCACAACCCTGGCTGAGCATCCCATTGCTCTCTGTCTTGCCCTGGGTGCTTCCCAGCCCCACCACGGGCCCCACATTCCCCTGCCAGGACCAGCAGGTTGTCAACTCATGCCAGTACCAGCTGCCTGTCAGCAGGGCTCTCACAGGCCCCCCAGGGGGGAATGGGTCAGCAGAGAGGTTCCAGCATTACAGGAGGGGAGAAACGCCCTGCAAGCCACAGCAGGTCAGAACGTGGCCCAGGACAAGGCAACCTGACTCCCTCAAGACTCGGGAGTGAGCTTGAAGCACTCTAGGGAGCACATGTGAGCCAGACCTGTGAACACGCCACCTCCAACCAGGAACACGGAGCAAGGTGGCAGATCTGCCCAGATCCTTCAGCACAGACATTTCAGCACAAACCCAGCCCTGCAGCATGCTGCGTTTCATGATGGAGCCCGAGCCGAACCCGCAACACAGCCCGCCATGGGTGCTGGCCCCTGCGCCCAGCCGAGTCCCAGAAGCACAAGTGTAACCCCAGGCACTAAGACTCCGTGGCGTCTAGCCCAGCACACGCATCTCCAGCTCACAGAGCCCAAACCCAAAAGGTGAACCACTGCCAAGCCTGAATCTCCACGTCTCTCTCCACCAGCATCTCCGCGCAGTGCTGACAACCACCGGCTTGAGCACCTCGCATGCCAGCTGCAGCGCAGACGCACAATGCTGCAATTAAAATGCATCCTATATAAGAGCGTGGCAATTAGCCAGCACTAGTGGAAGAGCCAGCGCTAATGCGCAGCATGGATTTCCTCATTAAAAAACACAAACACAATCGATCCCACAGCACAGATAAATAGGTCAGGACGATCGCCTGGCCAAAGGCTCCTGGGGGAGCACCCAGCTGTCATCCTGTCCCAAGGAAGGAGAGATCTGCTTGAGCCCAGGGTCAAGGCTCCCCCCGGAAATTCGAGGCTGGGGGGGTTAACTTGCACAGGAGGCTATGATCAGTCAGAGGGAGGAAGAAACAAGAGATGGGCACTAGATAGGCTGTCAATGCAGCTCCATCCACTCCTCCATGCAGCCTGGCTCCCCGCTGAAGAGAAACAGCTTCTGCAAGTGCATGAGTGCTCCCCAAGCCATGAAAATGCAAAGGCCAACACTACTGACCCCCAAAAGACAAAGGAACCCCAGGGAGCCAGCTTCCCCCTTTCAAAACACAACTCATCAGTTGCTCTGTGGCTGCTATCCATCCTTCACGGCTGCTCCTATCACTCACCTGCAAAGGCTTTGGAGATCCGCTCCTTCTTCCACTCCCAGGGCTGGTCGTACTCCTCGGGCGGCCGCTCGTCGTCCTCAGGCAGCCGGGACTCCCTGGGCCTGGGGCAAGCTGGGCGGTCACCCTCCATGTCCAGCCCTCCAAGGACAGGCTCGTAGGGAGTGTCATAGAGGGGCAGCGGCCGGGCAGGAGCCTCCCGTAAGCCCTTCTGGCGGATCTCTAGCAGCAGAAGAGGGAAAAGACTGTAAGTTTTTTGCCCAACATATCTGGGCACGGTTGCCAAAGCCCTGCTAATGAAAGGGCTCAATTTCACCCGAGGATGATGTGGAATGGGGAGCATCAGCGATGGAGGAGACCCCCCAGACCTCCAGCAAGCACCTGCCAGAAGCAGGGGAGTTGCTGGGCCCCCGGGTCCTTAGCAGTCTGCAGCACCAAGATGCCTCCACTCCCCACAGTACAACACCCCCACTCTCACATAGCCCTGCAAAGAGGGGTCCATGGGGACGGAGCATCCCAGAGACTGATTCCCTGCAATGATAGAGGTTGGGTTTCTCCCCTGGACACCCAACGTGGCTAGTTTAATAAAACATCCTTCCCTCGAGCAAAACAAGTTTCTCCCACAGACATGAGCAGACTCTTTGCCACTTGCCGATTTTTCCAAGAAATTTGACTGTCTAGTCCAAAAAGCCACATGAGCTTTCCAGAAAGCACTCGTTCCAGGAAAAACCACAGAACTGCAAAGCAGAGCCAGAGCCTGGAGCATGCAAGCCGGCATGACCACCCTGCAGGCACTGCGTCCTTCGGGAGGGCATGCTCTCACCTCACCTGCTTCCAGCCCACTGGTGACCCTGCTGCTGCAGCAGACAACGGCACACTCTGGCCCGGTCCTAACCAAATTAAATAGCTCCCACATCCATCTTAGTTTTATACCAGACACTTCGAACATCAGGTCTCTCCTGGCTCAGCCCAGAAAGCAGGCACTGTGGTCCCAGGGGGCCGCATTGCAGGAAGAAATATCGAGGTGCCTTTATTGCTTGGGTAGCAATGAGTGCTCTGGCTATGGCAGACCCATCGCACGTGGCTAGAGCTGTGAAAATTTGCCTGCAAAGTGGCTGTGCACCACCACAGTGATCACCCAAGTTCACCTTGATTGGGGGACCCAGTGCTGTTATGGGACTGCAAGGAACAGAGTACAGTGGCCACCAAATTCACATAGCAGGGTCCAGAGGTGCAAAGAGGGGCTTTCCACCTTACCAGCCATCATCTTCTGGGCTTCATAAGGCTCCATGTATCCATCGTTCTCCGTCACCTTCTCCAGCCCTGCCTGGCTACCAGCCACCTGTGCCGCATCAAAAGGATCTGCGTAGTCCTCCAGGACAGCCAGCTGGAAGAGAAGAAGGGTAGGAGAAGGGTTAGAGCACTCCCTGCCTTTTTGGGCAGGCTCAGGGACCAGCTGAAGCCCCTTAAAACCTCATCACAAGCTCTGCTAGCAGCAGCTAGAGTGGCAGCCCTGCTGAGCAGGTGCTGGCAGCCGGCGGCTTTCCAGGCACCAGCACTCGGCCGTGGAAATGCTCCAGCCTTTGTCCCGAAAGCTGGGACAGAGCCAAGGAGAGCAGAAGGCGGCCCAGCCTCCTCCCTTACCATCGGCTCAGCACTGCCAGGGCCTGCGCAGACGCCCTGGCAAAGCTACCACTGCGGTGCAGGGCTGCCGACGGTGCCATCCCCACCGTCCCCCACCCCACAGCAGATGCTCTCCCTGCACGCAGCCACATTTCCTCACCCAAGGTGGAGAAGGGGTGCAGACCCCAGTACAGGGGCATCAGCTGGCACTGGCATGATGGGAACTAACTGATTATTTTCCAGGGCTCCTGCAGGCTCGTTTGAAGATGTTTCTTAAGAGGGGCCAAGAACAAACTATGGCTTCCTCTCCAGTCCCTCCCATGCCCCCACAGCATCCCTACTTGCATCCCTAATAACAAGACAATGCTTCTCCATGTGATCAGGAGCCACCAGGAAGCAAGACCAAGAGCTGGCACAAAAAGCCTGAGGTTTGCCCTTACTAACAAAAATGGGACAATCCTGCAGCAGGATATGGGGCATGTCCCAGAGCTTGATTCCCTCCAGCACTGGAGCCACACGCCTGCTCTGGCCCCTCAACAGCTTCCCACCTGGAGCAGCCCATTGCATGACGCTGCAGCCCCCGGCAAGCCTGGAGCTGTACATCCCACAGCCAGCCCCAAAGCCTGGATCCCAAAACAAGGCCAGGCAATATTTCCAGCAGGGTCCAAGTGCACCCAAGCACCTTTGCTGGGGTCTGCTCGCCCACCAGGCTGCAAACCACAGGCTGGCCCAGCCGGTGAGATGGGTTTTGCCACTACAATGGCAGCTACGTAGAGCTCCAAGATCAAACGGCCTGAGCATGGTGTGGTGGCTACCTAACCCCACCCAGCAGCAGGTTCTGTCCTCACCACCATGCTGTCCCTGCTCCTGGCCAGCCTTGGAGACCAGGGCTGTTCAAGCATTCCTCTCCAGCTCCCATAATCGGCTTAAAGCAAAACACTTCTTCCTGTGCAAAACGGTCCGACAATAGCCTCGAGTGGCAAAACCCAGCAGGAAAAGGGAACAGGAACTGGAGCTGTAAACACCTCCGCACGGCCGAGCCTTCACACCACTCTGAGCTGTGGGAGGAACGCAGCTCTCCAACTCCTCACCACCTCCTCCGTATGCGTCCCGGCTCCCAGCTCCTGGGGTGGCCACAGCAGCGGGGAGCCGGGGCAGCTCTCCAAGCCCAGCCCCTCCATACCGGGACACGAATGAGCAGCAAAGCATCATCCCTGGAGCAAACCTGGCCAGCCACAGGGCTCACAGCCCCCTAGGCAAGCACAACACAGGCTCAAACATGAAAGCCAGAAGACACTCTCATCCCTTGGCCAGGCAGCAGCACAACAGATGGCTGCTCAGGGTACCGGCCTCTGCCGGATGAGAGGGAAAGAACAAAACCTCCCACTGGCTCTGCAGGCAGGGCAGGGTGCCAGCAAGCCGGGATGGGGCTGCAGGAGCAGCCAGTCCCTGGCTTTGCAGCGGGAGATGGGAAATCTGCTCTTGCCTCCATCATCCAAGGGAGACATGGCACCACTCAGGCCCCACTGGGCACTGGGAACACCAAGGGGCAATGCTGAGCCCAGGGGGCTGCAGCCCTTTGCCACCACTGGTGCAAAGCCCCCCAGTGAAATCTTAAAGTAACTGGTGACTTTTGCAGCTGCTTGGTTGCTAGGACCCAACCTGACACCCACGGGGCAGGGAGATGAGTGACAGTGACAGTAAATTCACTGCAGGAGGTCCCTCTCTTCTCTAAACACCCTTTTCCTCTCCATGGCAAAGAGGGGCTCAGCCTGCAACAAGCGGGCGCTTCCCTGCTCCGTCCCGAGGGCAGATCAGTGCCCACTGCTCCAAACAGCTGGAGATGCCAGGGGCTGCACCCACGCCTCAAGAAGCTGCAAAGAGGCTTCCGCTCCTCTGCAAGGACATCTGCAGAGCACAGCCCCATGCTGGCGACAGCTCATTCTCACAAGCGCTAGTGCCAAGGGAGGCAGGAGCATGCAGGCAGGTGTCCCGACACGCACAAACGCACAGGCTTGACACGTGAGCGCCTGCGAGGCGGGCAGATGGGCAGCGCCATGCCCGATGCTCACCCTCTGCAAAGAGCTCTCATGGCTCCAACAGTGCTGCGGGGCTGTGAAACGCAGTTTGTGGACCCTCCTGGGCTCAGAAACGAGTTGCCTTCTCATTCTTCCTGCCCTGAGCCCAGCCTGCCTGCATTCAAACCTGCCACGAACCCCATCTCCTAGACGCATTTTGCTAGACATAGACACAGCTTGCTGCTGGCACCAGTCCTGAACCCTCCCTCTCACCCCATAAACACAGAGCAGCTTCAGACAAGACAGGGCACCAGCACAGCAGCTCAGCAGCTCAGAGACTCCTCTGCACACCCTGGTCGTGCTTCCCAACTAGACGAAAACTCCCCTCTGTGTTTCCTCAGCACTCAGGTCTGGCTTCTCAGGGAGGAACACACAAGCTCCAGCAAGCTCACAAAGTGCTCCCCCACTCAGATGCCTCGAGGTCTAGAAAGCAGAGGATGGTGGAGCATCATAACACCTCTCTGCTGAGACTGCTAAAACTGGGTATTTTGCTTGCAGGGGGGTGCAGAGACACTCAGCAACAATTAGATGGGGTCTATGCAGGCAAGATGTGGTTTGCTGGGCTTAGCTCAGACCCAGAGCAAACGGCTCAGATCAGAGGCTTCAGTCTCCAAGCTCCCTACGTTTGGTGGGGTTTTGCCACACCGGCTTTACTCCTCCATTATCTCAAGGATCCCTCTTTGTAGGAGCGAAGCTTCCCCACAACAGGGTGCTGAGAACATAAACCCATTCATTTCTAAAATGGTCAGATTATTACAGTAGAGAGCCACAGAAAAGCTGGGAAGGTGACTCCTAACTGTGTCCAGGAGCACTGTGACCTTGGGGTGCACAGCCAAGCAAGCGGGAACAGTACGCCGAGCCCCAGGGCTGGGGTGGCCAGAGGATCCAGCCGGTGCCCGGAATGGAGCAGAGCTCTTAGAGGGCAGACGGTGGGGACCACGCAATTATTGATTGCATCTTAACACCCTTGCAAGTGGGGCGAAATTAAGGTTGCCTGGGAAACTGCATCTCTGACATTTCCTAATCTCAGCGCTGGACTTGACAAGCCCTGCCGGGCTCCCTGCAGCAGCCACGGTGCATGCAGCCACTCCCCCAGCACAGGAGGGGCCACAGCCGCTGGCGGGGCAGTTCCCAGGGGTGCCCCAGACCCCTCCCCCAGTGCGGTCACAGGCCAGGCATTTCCATGCTTTGCTCACCTCCCGCGTCGTGGAGACTGATGCTCACCACCCGCCACTCAGATGCCTAGGTACCGAGGCACCGCCTGCTCATACACACAACAAGCTTTGCTAGATTTGAAATAATATGGTTGCAAAGCAAAAGCCTGACACACAGGGTCACCATCCCAGGGCAGCTCTTGGTTTCAGAGAACAGCTGGGCACCGCCAGCACATGGACACACGTCCTCTTTGTGCACGTGAGTGTTTTTCACACATTTATCTGCCGTGGCAGTGCACACCAAGATCCCTGCTGCAGTATTGAGGCTGGTCTCACTCTATTATGCCAACTGTAAGAAAAAAAGAAAATCAAAAGAAAATTAAGGCAAAGGACCAGATCATCACTGGATTCTCACAGTAAAACAGCTTTTGTGCTGCCCACCAGTGAAGGCGACAGACGGCAGCTCTCCCAGAGCATTCACAGTTCAGAGGCCAAGATCCAAGGACAGAGCTGGGGCTCTTCACCCCATCCTGCCTACAGACAACATCCTACCTGCCACCACCTTTTGTCATAACAAGATGCTTCACTCTATAGAGAGGTCCCCAGAGGACACCTGGGGAGATCCTTTACTTTAGAAACAAGTTTCTTGACCTGGAGATAAAACGTGTTTGGGGTCCCCCCAGGAGATTTCTGGGTTTAACACTCGAGCCACTCTGAGTTATAATCAAACTCAGTTCTTTCACTCTGCCAGGTGCAAAATTTTCCCAGTTTCACACATCTTGCAGCTTGGCTTTCAGTGGATGCCAAAGCCAAACCCAAAACCAAACCTAGCACTGGCCTTCCAAGAAGGGTCCAGCCTGCAGCCCATGGGGGACAGCTGGGTCAGGCAGGGAGCCCACGGCTGCACCCATGGCACAGGAGGATGGAGCGCGGGGCAGACGGCACGGCATCGCGCAGGATGACTCAGTTTGGGGAGGTTCTCACAGGAAAGACACACGCCCAAGAGCTTCCTGGCCGGCTGTTCCCACACCCCGCAGCACTGACCCTGCTCTCCCAGCAAAAACACCAGCAACCAGTCCCGGCGGGCATGAGACAAAGATGTCCCCAGGCAGATCCCCAACCCAGTACCCAAACATGCTGCTCCCTGGGAACAGGCGTCCCCATGCAGGGAGATCCCTCACCACATCTCTCCCCACTGCATCCTGGTGGCATTTCTCCTCATGTCTAACGTCCAAACATGGCAGAGAAGACATCTCCAGAGTACTTGCCTTGCTCAGGTGAGCCATATAGGGCCACTCCATCGTCCACTGCTGTAGAGAAAGGCCTGCCCAGACCAAGCAGATGGAGAAGGACCTGTGTTGGTCCCCACCATGTCCAGCAAGCATTTCTAATGAAGTAGAAGCCACTGCAGAGCTCACTTTAAGCACATCCCCACAAGATGCTGAAGATCCCACACAAGGCAGGAAGATGTGACAACTCATGGTATAACAGCAAAGCACCACATGGCCCAGTCAGGAAGGATGCCATTGCTGGGATGTTCCTGCCCTGTCTTCAATTCTCCAGAACGGGCAGGGCAGCTACAGCAGGCACAGGGCTCCCAGGCAACACGATCGGTTCCCCAACCTCAACGCAGCACCCGTACCGCAAACCACATGGCCTCGGCCAAACCACACAAGCAGGAAGTGGTGGCCGACCTTCTTCCACTTCTGTCCCTCCTCGTCCTCCCCGCTCAGAAGGGCTGCACATTTTATTAGTGCTTTTCACCGTCAATCATTAGCAAAAAACTCTCTGCTCCAGCAGCCTCACCTGCACCTAGAATTGTACTTGTCCCTTCATCTTCAACATCACCACAACTCAAGGCCCACACCCATGGGCTTTCTGGAGTCCCAGTCCCTGCGGAGGGTAAGGAACAGTACCCGCCACCTCTTCCTAAGCACGGGAGCTACAACCATCGTCTCGGCTTGAAGAATTCAGCAGAAGCTCCAGCCCAGCCCTGATGTGCCTCCCCCGCTCCAGGACACCTTGACATTGTCACCAAGAGTGAGGGCCACAAGCATCAGCATTCCCCCAGCAGGTGCCTCCACCCTCCTGGGGCACTACCACAGCCTCGCAGCACCTCCCACCGCCCAGCCCAACATCAAGGCCAGCAGATGGCAGCTGCAAAGGGCGCTCAAGCCCAACAGAGATGCTCCACGTGGTAGAGGCTCCCCAGCTCCTCCAGGGAAATTGATTTAATGGACAGCTGCATGCGCTATCAAATACTCCTGCTTTATCTCTGCCTTCACTCAGCCTCCAGAGCTCTGCCTGTGTCCATCACGTACTGGAGCCCTGAAGAATTAGAAACCTCCTCCCCACAGAGGCACTCAGGGGATTGGGAGATAATCTAATTGCCGTCTATCTTGGATAAAATGAAGGGTCTTCTTTGGCCTAGTGCTGTTAGCAGGGTTTCCCTGAACACATCCCAGCTTTTGGCTTTTCCCTAAACTTCCCAGCTTATCCCCAGCCCTCAGATGCCGGCACAGCCCTGTCTGTACCTGCTGGCAGTCCCCACTTCCTGCAGCTCCTGCTCAGCCTTTTGCACATCACAGCCCGAGTCCTTCCCATGTCCACCACCTGCCCCTGGTCCCTCTGATCC